TGTTTGAGGGATAATTTCTCTGGATATAAGATTCTTGGTTGGAAGTTCTTTTCCTTCAGTGTTTTATATATGCAGTCCCACTGCCTTCTTGCTTGCATGGCTTCTGCTGAGTAATTGGAGCTCAGCCTGTTTATTACAAGTAATATTTCTTTTGTCCCAGGCAGCTCTCAATTTTTTTTCTTTGTCTTTGGTTTTGGAGAGTTTGATTAGAATATGTCTCAGTGTTTTTCTCTTGGGATCTATCTTGTGTGGGGTTCTATGAACTTCTTGGACAAATATCTTTTCTTCTTTCATGATATTGGGTAAGTTTTCTGTTAGCAGGTCTTCCACAATTTTCTTGGTGGTTTTTTTCACCTCTTCTTGTTCTGGAATTCCAATGAGTCTTATGTGGTTTCTTTTCATGTCATCCCAAATAATTCTTAGGTTCTCTTCATTTCTCTTAAATTTTTGTTCTGATTTTTCTTCATACAGGCTGGTGTCTAGGGGTTTGTCTTCTAGTTGGGATATGCATTCCTCAGTCAGTTCCAACCTACTCTTTTTTGTGCTTCTACTGTGTTGGGTAATTCCGCAATTTTGGTATTCATCTTCTGATTTTCTAACTCCTATTTTTGTATGAGTTCTGATTGTGCATTAATCTTATTATTTTGTTCCTGAATGATTTTCCTGAGTTCTTCCAGGGAACTGTCTGTGTTCTCCTTGTTTCTGTTTGGGGTCTCCTTAGGCTCTTGTAAAGCTTTATAAATATATCTTCTAAATTCCTTCTCAGATAATTCTACTGCCTCCTCTTCCTCCATGTTTTATGAGACCTTTGTTTGTGGTTTTGCTTCTAATGCCCTGTCCTGTTTTTTTGTTAGATTTGAGGTTGCCTGTTTTTTCATAGACATTTTGAGGTTGTCTTTAACTGTTGGTTATGTATTGATTTGTTTTGTCTTGGTTTTATGGTTTAATATTTTGAAAAGGTGAAACTGGTGTATTTTATTTGTTTATTTTTAGTTATTAATTCGGGTATGCTGGATCACTCTGCAGTTTTCTTTATGATGGCGGAGTCACTGTGTGTAATGTGGATATGGGTTTCTGTTTGTCATAAAGAGGATTTAGAGTTTGAACCAGGAGGTTTTATGTTGGTTGAATGTGTTTTTTTCTATTGGATGAGTGAAGTTATTGGTGAAGAAGGTGGAAGCAGAAAAAGGAAAGCTTGCTGTTGCTAGGGGAGGTTTCTAAGGTTTTGAGCGGGTTGCTACCAATGATGTTGTACTGTTATTTAAAGGCCCGCAGCTCAATTTCAGCAAAGACTCCAGTTATTAGGGGGTCGCCACTTTCTGCCAGGCTCAGACACATGCAAAAACCCCACTACTGAGGCCCCTTGCCTCCAACAAGCTGACCCAAGACAACTTCCTGGCTCTGCAATCTGCCATGGGCATTTCTTTCTCTGGGCCCACCTGCCTATGGTGCCGGCCCCACTGGCCCAGACCACGGTCTACCTCAGGAGTTCCTCTGTGAGTCTGCCCACCTGCAGTTCCAAAGATCCACTCAATTTCAGCAGTGCTGGAGTCGGGAAAGTGCCTGGTAGTAATCTGTGGTCCCAATATTACTTATAAAGTCAAGCTCAGACCTCTCAGTGCCACTAAGCTGACCCAAGCCTACTCGGTGGCCAGCTGTGGTGGCACCCTCCTGTAGCACCAATGGACTCTCTGCTCGGGTTTCAGCAGCACTGGATGTGCCCATTTGCACCTAGCCAACCCAAGTGACTGATAAAATCAGGTGCTGAAGGTACATCCTTGCAGTGATCAATGGTATACTGGAGTGGTCGCTGGTATGCTGGTGTGGTATGTCTTCTGCCTTAACCCAGTGAGTTCTTGGATGGCCATTCTCACCTGCCGGTCGCTCCTCCAGGGCAGTTTCTGATTGCCTTTCTCAGTTGCCTGTCTGCACTCCACAGGATAGATCTCATTTTTTTTTCCCCTGTACCTTTCTGCTCTCTAATTCTACTCCCCTGAGTCAGGTGACCAGAATCCCTAATTCAAACTGCTGTACCTAGTTTTTTAAACACTAAAATGCTAGAGGGAAATATCATGGTGATTACTGATGAGACTCCATTTTTAATCCCTTTTTTTTCTTTACTTCTTTTTAATCAAGAATAAAGTCATACTATGTAATATTTTGCAGCTTGCTTTTTACACTGAATGAGATATACTTGGAAACAAAAATGTGAATGTATAAATTATTTTAATTAATTTGTTAATAACAGCAAAAAAATTACATTTGAAACAATTTTCATTTGTATGATGTATATCATTTTCCATTTTGCTGACAGGGTTTGGTCCTTATATAGGCTTTCTGCTCCCATGCTTTTGAACCACTTCCATGAAGCATTGTTATGACTTTGGGGAGGAAAACATAGTCTTTCCCTTCTCTTAACTTTCATCTCAGTGGGTAAAATCAAGTTCCTTGTATCTATATTTCTAGCAATCCTAATCAAACAAACCAAAGTGATAGTTCAATTGCAACTGTCCCTTTTTTCTCAAAAAAAGAGCAATTGTGTTCAAGCTATAACCTCTGCATTGGCAAAATGTTGGTTCCTTCTGCTGTAGTGTTACTGTAGTATTATTCACTTGGTAGCAATGTTGGTAATAACTAATAGATTGCTGTTTTTGACTTCTACCCTCTAATCATTGCCCAATTTTAAAACTGCTTCCACATCTTAGTTATCTGTTAGAGCAGATGATTAGTTGAAGGGTAGTTGACTTCTGAGTGTGGCCTGCTTCCAGTATATATGGAACAGTTTTGGGCAAGGTCTCTGGCTTTTTGCTCTTGAATTTGGCCTATCATCCTATCCAGTTTCCAGACTTGAACCAGTAGCCTGCCATGTGGCCTGCCAATCTTGGTATTGTTGCCATCATGGCCTTTGAGGCAAAAATCTGCTATTTTACCTGCCAATCTTGGATTCATCTTGGACTGCCTGTCAGTCTTGCATTCATCAGCCCCTGAAGCTGTGCGTGTCAGAAGCCTACAGCTTGACGTTTGACCCAAGGATTTGCTCACACCATAATTCAAAGGCATCAATTCTACTGCAGTCTTGCCAGCCTCTACATGAGCCATTTCCTGGAGATAAATTTCTCTATATATATCTCTCTATACATACACATAGATGTACAAAATGTGACCAAGGAAGAGGTATGCTACACCTGAAAAGCCCTGCTTGATTTTGCTAATATGTACGGAGACCTGGAGAATATGTGTGGGAATGGCTTTTAAGGGTATAGGATAATGGTGCAAGGAACATAATGTTGAATCAGCCTGAGTTTATTTATTTGGGCCCACTAAGCACAGACTCTTCATTCAGTGTTTCAGATTGAGAGATTAGGAAAGGATCTAATAGTTTATTTGGTTGGCTTACTGAAACATGGATTGTGCAGTGGCCTACATTAAGTCAAATTGAAGTACCCAACCTTCCTTGGTACAATGTAGAAGAAAGTGTCCAAAGGCTTAGGGAAATTGGTGTGTTAGAATAGATTTATCAGATTAGTCCCATAGGTCTACAAATGGAATGTCCAGAGGACACACTTTTTATTATTACAGTGAGGAACAAATTTGTGAAAGGAGTGCCAGCATCCTTGAAAATTGCTGTGATTGCTATTTTATGTAAGCCAGATTTGACAGTGGGAACTGCCCTAATTGAATTAAGACACTTAAATACAATGGGGCTGATTGGACCCCATGGTGACAGGGGCCAAGTTGGCACACAACCTTAACTACCACACTTCCCTTAACTAATATTTCTATTATCACGTATTTGCTAATTTCAATTTTTTCACATTTGTTTTTAATATAAGGGATAACTTTGCAGATAAAAGTTTAGGCAGGGTTGAGGTAAAGACTATAGCCTGTAGGGGAGAGAAGAAGTAAATAAAGTTATCCTAGCTCTGGTAGTGTAGTGCCTAAGGCATTTGACTGCTAACCAGAAGGCTGGCAGTTTAAACCCACCAGCCACTCCTCAGAAGTGAACAATCTACTTCCGTAGAGATACGACCTCAGAAATACTTTCTGGACATAGGTGTTGTAACATACAGCCACAACTACCTTGATTTTCATGCTTTCCAGTAACCCATTGACACCTTCAGGAACCATTCTGCATTATAATAATTTATTTTAGGGCCTGATGATTGAAAAAACTACATAGTGGTTAAAAGCTTCCACAAATTCAGTAACACATTATGTGAAATTGCCTTTGCTTACTCAATGTGCATTATGAATAGCTGGACTTCTTTTGGAGCCAAAATGAACCTGGGACTAAGTTTGAATGTAGATTTTTTGTTTTTCTCTATAGCAATGGCATGGTTTACTGAACTCCAAAGTGAATCCTACAATAAACAAGAGGAAAAGAGGAGAAGACACAGATTTTCTACTCAGAATTATATTTTATAGAAACAAAACAACACAATTATCTGAGTCTAATTCTCTGGTAGGAGCTCTGGTAGCATAGTGCCTAAAGCACTTGACTGCTAACCAGAAGGCTGGCAGTTCAAACCCACCAGCCACTCCTCAGAAGGAAGGTTGGGCAATCTATTTCCATAGTGATACCGCCTTGGAAACCCAAGGAGAGTTTGCTATGAGTCAGGGCTGACTCAATGGCACATAACAACAACAACAATAACACAATTCTCTGGTAGGTTAGGGTGATGACTGCTTCTGTGCATGACTTGGTGGTCTTCTTACAGGAATTACTCAGCAATCTTCACTCTTACTTTGCTCTTTTTCATTCTCTAAGACCAAGGAGGGGGAGAAATGGGGCCTTGATAATCTTTATTGATCAAGTGTATTTATCCATTCATTTCTATATTTATTTAGTCACTTTAGAAGATCTTGTTCAAAAAACACAATATGAGCTGAATAAACTGGTCAGATTAACACAGAATAGAGCCCAGAGCTTCCACCCATTCGTTCCCTACCAACTTTTGTCTTGTAATACCCATATTTTTTCACTTTTCATTTGCCTTAAGATAACGAGAAACCTATGCGTGTGGTGGATGATGAGGACTTGGTAGACCAGCATCTCATCAGTGAGCTGAGGAAAGAGTATGGAATGACCTACAATGACTTCTTCATGGTGCTGACAGATGTGGATCTGAGAGTTAAGGTACAGGTTCCCATTCTGTGTGATGTGGTGCCATTCCTTAGAATTGAGACTCTGAATTTTTTTTTTTTAAGTCAATGACTTCATTAGACATGTATATAAAGCTGTATGAATTATTTCATAAACTGGAAGGTTTTGAAGTGACCCAAATATTTTAGGTTGTTCTGCAAAATTTGTGGCCAGAATTGTGGTCTCAGCAAAGATGATACTGAACTGATCTCCCATGGCCCAGCTGCTTGACTCACTACTTGAGTCACACTAAATTCTTCTCTAGTATCAATGTCATGCATTCATTAGACACTTATGACACAACTATGATGTGTCATGCTCTGGGGATAAAAGGTGAAGTGTATTTGACCTCTCCCTTTAAGAAAATTAGACAACATTGGCCAAGCTTCTGGAAATTTACCTCCTGTTCCAACAAGGACAAAAACTGTTTTACACTCACTTTCTTCCTAAGTTTAGGGACAAAGGTTCTGGATCATTTACAACTTTGCAATGTAAATACACTAATAATAAAAAAAATGGCTAACTTTATTGAGTGCTTTTCTTGTTCCAGAGACTCTGCTTACCATATACAATCCTTATCTCAAGCATCTAAGATAAATATTAGTATTATCCTTGTTTCACAAAGAAATAGAGGCCTTGCCCAAGCTCACCCACTTAGTGTTGGACTTCACCTGTCTTTTTTTTTAACAAACATAAATTAATTTGCATAGGGATAGTAAATAATGCTTACATGAGGATCTTTAGGGGGAAAAAAAAAGTCTAGACTATGAAAATAAGGTTCCGTTTGCAGTGTTCTTCTGCATCTGGAGAGAATTCCCTTCATCAACTCATTCAGCATTTATGTTGTGACATTTCTGATGTGGAAAGTAGGACTAGATAATCTCTAAGGCTCTTGCCTGCTAACATTATATGATTTACTGAATTCTTATAGTGGGCACAGCTTCAATCCATGTCCATCTTGCTCTCTGGCTTGGGCTGGTTATGTTTAGCCAGAACCAAAGTTCATCTTGGGTTGCTATTTTAAATCCAGACACCTATGATCCAGGAAATTGAATCTCATTGTCCTTGTTTCTGAGAAATGAGTAAACAAATGTGATCTAATTTTAAGGGATGCTCACGTAATAAAATAATCTTTGCAAATAATAAGGAATTCATGGAGACTCCTGACAACCACAGAAGAGGCCTCTTTCTGGTACAAAATTACCCTGATTGCTCAGATCAGATACTCTAACATATTATCCCACTTGTATCCTGTATTAGACACAGTATTTCTCATTTTCTCTCCAGTTGTGTGGTGACCAGGAACCATCTTAGTCCCAGAGGCAGGAAAGTGAATCTAGGAATTGTATGTAGAGGAAGGTATGCACTCTTTCCAATGAAAAAAGCACAGTTAACAAGAAATCCTCATGAAAAGTGACAGTTGTTTCATGGTTTGAGAACCTCAAAACATTATCAGAGTTTATGACCGCAGTGACAGAAGAGGTGGCTCAGTGTCAGAATTCTTGCCATCCCTGTGGGAGACTCCCATTCCATGCTCCTCATCACAACCACCACCCAGGCTTGTGTGTTGCTATGATGCTGACTAGATTTCAGCAGATTTCCAGACTAAAGTGGACTAGGAAGAAGAGCATGGTGATCTACCTTTGAAAATCAGCCAATGCAAACCCTGTGGATCCCAATGGTCTGATCCCCAGCTAATCATGGGGATGGTGTACAACTGGTAGTGTTTCATACTGTTGTGCATGCGGGTCACCATGAGTTGTAGGGTGGACTTCATGGAAGCTAACACCAACTGTTGCAACTACTGCAGGAGAGAGCTTATAAATCAATAAGAACTCCAGGCTTTGATTTCTAACATTGCTCCAGAGCTTCCTTGTGCTCTTTTAAGTTCTGAACAGAGGGAAGAAACCCACTTATACATCATATATTTTCTATCCTTTTTTAAACAGCAATACTATGAAGTGCCAATAGGAATGAAGTCTGTGTTTGATTTGATTGATACTTTCCAATCTCGAATCAAAGACATGGAGAAGCAGAAGAAGGAGGGCATTGTTTGCAAGGAAGACAAAAAGCAATCACTGGAGAACTTTCTATCCAGGTATACTACCTTTGTAGGCTAAGAAGGGGCAGGAGGAAACCTTTTCGGAGGGAATTAGTGAAAACACCACGGGAACAGAGCAATGTATGTGTTTACAGAAAAGTCTGTCTCAGTTTCACAACGTACTGGCTAAAGAGCTTAATCATGTCCTTTAGGAGATTGCTCTGATGGAGAAGGTGGTTGTATTCACTTCCAAGCTTGACTGATCCTTTGGTGACTCTGCATGTGTCTTTTCTCTCTCTCTCTCTTTTTTTTTTTTTTTTTTTTTTTTGCTTAATTTGCACAGATACAGAATTCTGATCTTCCTTCAGGGTTAATTTATTTAACCAGTGAATTTGGAAATCTTTGTATATAGCATTTTAATTTCATGTATTTATTTCTTGGGACCCTTCTACTTCCAGACAGGATTTGCACACTATATTTGATTTTCCACTTCCTTCCAAGGCTGCAGGAAATATGAAAGGAGAAGTCCTCTTGACCCTGCTCCCTCATTCCCCAGGGAGTGTTTATAGAAAAAGATTGTAGAGAAACCCCAGTGCCAGTGGGAGAGCAGCATACCCAGAGAAGACTGTACAATAATCACTCTACTTCCTCTATCTCTCCCCCAAGTTGGATCATAATTCTACAGAGCCTCAGAGGCCCTAGGAGGTGAAAAGCTGAGACATTCCACCCACAACAAATAAACTCACAGAGATCTCAGTGTAAACACTACTCAGACTGCACTATAGGGCTTGGGGGCTCCAGAGATGGAGTGAGAATTTGCTTGGAGGCTTAGTATTAAATGGATATCCCTACAAGCAGAACCTCCTTACTTGTGTCTATAAAACTACATTCTCCAAACGTGAGTTAGAGAATCTTAGAGAATCAAGAGTTGTATGATTACTAAGTGGATAATTTGAGTTCCTGTAGGTTCCAGAAAACCAGCCTAAGGCATTTGACTGATAATCAGAAGGCTGGCAGTTCAAACTCACCAGCCACTCCTCGGAAGGAAGATAGGGCAATCTACTTCCGTAGTAATACCGCCTCGGAAACCCAAGGTGGGGTTGCTATGAGTCGGATCCAACTCCATGGCATCAGTTTGGTTTTCTTGGTTTGGTAGATTCCAGAAGGAGCCTCTGGTGACACAGTGCCTGAAGTATTTGACTGCTAACCAGAAGGTTGGCAGTTCAAACCCACCAACCACTCTGCAGAAGGATGATGAGGGATTTTCTACTTCTGTAAAAATTTACCACCTTAGAAACTAATGCATGTCGCTATGAGCTAGAATCCACTTGATGGCAGAGGGTTACAGGTTCCACTGGCTTGGCTATTTTACTAGAGAGAATCATGATAAGTAAATAGCATAGAATTTACCACTGGTCCTAGTTTGCAGTCTGTGACTTAGGAGGTGTGTTGATCCTGCACTTCTCAACTAACCTGCCTTAAAGATTTCTGCTCTGATTCTTAGGATATGTACATTTATTTTGCATATAAAGTCTCTTAGACTGGATAAGGTTATAAGTTGTCATGAGTCAGAAGTTTACTTAACAGCAGTTAACACCACCACATTATGTTAAATGAATTTCTACCTGACTCATTTGGGGTAGGGAGCTTGATGGGCTCTACTTTGCCTCCCAGTTCTAGCACCAAGCTCTAGATCAATAAAATATATTTACTAACTGCAAAAACGGCAAGGAGGCCTCATATTCTGACCTCCTAGAACCCCACAAGAGGAAGAGAGGATTACCAGCAATAACCCAAGGCCTATTCCTGCCAGGCCAGACATGCTGCCTCCCTCCAGCCCTTTCTCCAACCATTCCTCCCAAAGCACCACCACCTCTCTCCTGGGTTCGATAATTCGCTGCAGTGGCCACACAGAACTCACGGATTACAGGATTTATTAGGGAAGCACCAGGCTACAACTCAAGTTCAGGAAGAAAGCTCAGTCTCGATCCCAGCCCACCGTCCCTCAGCCAACAGTCTCTCACAGTCTCTTTCCCAGCAATGCTGGTCCCTCGGTGTCTCACTCAGCGATGCGTGTCTCTTGTGTCTCTTTCCCAGCAACTCGTGTCTCAGGAGCCCGTGTCTCTTTCAGCAGCACGTCTTCCTCAACCAGCAGTCAGGGAGAGTTCTGCCTCTAGGAGGCCTCCTTTTGAGCCCAGCAGGGTGGTCAAATTAGCCAATCATAGCATCAGAACTCTAAGCACCTGAGAGAGTGAGAACCTCCCAGAACATTGTTTTATGCCACTCCCAACAGAAATACCCCACGTGGATAACATTTACAATCAAGAGCTCCTCAGTTGCTCATTCCACCACGGAGTTTACAATGATTGCTCTGGTAGCATAGTGGCTAAAAGCACTTGACTGCTAACCAGAAGGCTGGTGGTTCAAACCCACCAGCCACTCCTTGGAAGGAAGGTTGGGCAATCCTACTTCCGTAGTGATACTGCCTGGGAAACCCAAGGAGGGGTCGCTATGAGTCGGGGCCAACTCGACGGCACATAACAACAACAACAACATGGATAGAAAAGCCACACAAAGTAATTTACTATACTGCACTAACATACATAAAAATATTTTCCATATATGGAAATATAAAGCCCATCACCTCTTACATGCATTACTATTTTAGGAACATACATCATGGATATCTATTTTGGGTATAATACATTATGGATATTGAAAAAGGTATATGATTAAAATTTGGATGACCGGTGGCTCTGCTTAACATGTAGTCAGAACACATAAACTCATTCCTTTGACAGTTATTATTGATCTTAAAATTTAAAGTGGAATAGTTATGAAGCCCCGAGTTTGATTCCTAGCTTCTCCACTTATTAGCTGTATGACCTTGAGCTAATTACTTTAACTTCCCTGGGCTTCAGTTTTCTCACTTGCAAAATAAGCATATTTTTTCACAAGATTGTTGTGAAGGGTAAATTCAATGCTAAAGGACATGTACTTAGGCTAGAACCTAGCATAAGGTAAGTGAACAATAAATGTTGTTGTTATGTGCTGTCGAGTTGGAGCTCCTACAATAAATGTTAGCTATTATAAATATTCCAAAAACCAAACCAAACTAGGTGCTATCAAGTTGATTCTGACTGGTAGTGACCTCCATTGGGTTTCCAAGGCTTCTTTAAGGAAGCAGACTGCTTCATCTTTCTTCCACAGAGCAGCTGGTGGGTTCAAACCACCAATCTCTTGGTTTGCAGCCAAATGCCTTAACCACTACATACCACCAGAGCTCCTTATTAGGGCTGGTTATTCAGGTCCTGGTTAGAGAACTTTGTCATCAAGGGAGAGGTAAGAAAAGGAGACTTAGTAACACTCCAGAATTAAATCCTAGGCAAAGAGAAATGCAAGGGGTGGGTGGGAGTAAATTAAATCAAAAGCTCTGTTGAATAAATCTGTATCCAAATAGGAATTTTCTTTGAAATTTGCTGAGTTGCTGGTGGGTCTGTACAGCCTGGTTTCATCTGACAAGACCCTGAAGCCCATCTGATCTTCAGTGCCACTCATTTTGTTCAGGCTATAATTACCTTTCCCTGAGAAACCCCAAAGAATGGTATCAAATGCCAACTTATCTGGGAATGCCTGTGAAGAGAAGCAAACATGCATACCTTGTAGAATTTTTATTTAAACTAAAGTGACAAAAAAGCAAATTGTCCAAATTATGGATCTACACCACATTCACATCTCTTATTACATCCAATAGAGGTTATTTCCTTTGGTGTCATGAGCTGGGGCCTTAGATATTGATGCAAGGTCTGTAGGAGATAGAATTACTACTTAAGGGAGATGTTCTTCACTTGGTTGTATCTGAGACAGGGAGTCTCAGATCCTGGGCCACTCTCATCAGGACTGCATTCAGTTGTGCACACAGGTAAACAAGCCAAAATATATCTCACCCAAAATAGCTTCCTCCAGGACACCCTACTGCTCTGTGGGCCAGGAAGGCTGGGCTGGGCTGGGCTGGAGGTGAGCTGGAGATCAGTGCTGGTCTGGCATGCCTCCTAAGGAAGCAAGAGAAAGTACAAGAGACCATGTTTGTGATCTGACAGCAACCACCACTTTTTCCCAAGAAACCTGGACAGTCTCAGATGCTCTTCTCCCCTCCTCCACACCAAACACATTCATCAGCCTATTCTCAGTGGGGATTTTAGTTTTCCTTTCTCTTTGAAGAAAAACAAGCAGAGGAAGTGAATGTAATGTTACAGCAAGCAATTCTTGGCGACAGGCATTTATTCAGAGGTTATATTTCATCAGACTATCATTTTCTCTCATTCACCGAAACCACTACTCCCCCAAGAGACCATTTTCTTTGGAGTTCAAAATGTTTATGTTCACTTTGAGGCAAGAACGGGACAGGGAGAGAAGTCATGAATAAAATCAACTGGGCTCAAGCTCAGAGAACTTACTAACAGCCCATGGTCATCTTGCACTGAAAGGAGAGAGTAAAACTCCTTCTCAAGTGAGTGTGGGATTTGAGAAGATCTCATACAGTGGCCCCTTAAACACATCTTCTCTCTTTCCCACCCTTTTAGGGACCCTGATAGCACAAGCCAAGCATTAACATCTATGAGGGTGGTGTACTAGTGAAACTGTGGACCAGGTGTCAGAGAAATCTTCCATCGACTAGTTGAGCAAGTTTCTTTCTCTAAGCCTCATTTTGTTATTTGTGAAATAGGAAAAAATAAGCCATGCCCTCACCAAAGTCTAGTGAGAAACACACTGTATAGGTGACCATGAGCAAAATGGTACACAAACAGGAGTATTAAATAGATTATCACGTGGTAGATAATGTGTAAGGTCTGTTAAAGGACAAAGTTCTGTATCTAGCAGCATGCAGGTTAACACATGATCTACATCCAGGTGCCACTATGTGGATACTTTACATTTATATGTTTTAGACTTTAGTTCTTCCAGCACCCTTTTGAAGTAGATAATGCCATTTTTAATTCTGTTGTTGTTAGTTTCTTTGAAGTCAATTTCAACTTACAGTGACCTCCTGTGTGCAGAGCAGAACTGGTCCATAAGGTTGTCAAGGCTGTGACCTTTCAGAAGCAGTTCTCCAGGCCTATCTTCTGAGTTGCCTCTACATGGGTTCCAACCACTATCTTTTCACTAGTAGTCAATGCTCAACCATTTGTGCCTCTCTAGAAGAAAAACAGAAGCATACGTGAATTGAATGACATGCTCAAGTACACCCAAAGCCTGAATTCAAGTTTTCTGGCTTCAAGACAAAACTTTACTACCTTCTGGTGCTGGAACTGTGAGAGCACAAACCGTGTTTACTATATACTGTAATATACTCTATATACTATAAACCCCATTCTACATCACAGGGGTACTCTATATGTGGTAGGAGTTTCCTGTGTAGCACAAATGGTTAGGCATTTAGTTAAGGTTGGCAGTTCAAATCCACCCAGTGGAACCTCAGAAGAAAGTCTGCCAATCACAGCCACTGAAAACCTTATGGAGCACAGCTCCACACTGAAACACATGGGGTCACCGTGAATCAGATCAACTTGATGGCAACTGGTTCATAAGTGGTAGATCCTAGTATTGAAAACAGGGTACATTTTAGAATCTGCATTTGCCTCTGGAAGAACCTTAGGCTACTGAGAAAAGTGTATAAGGTTTTATTTTTCTCGGAACCCATTGACCCATTGAGCGACTCTCCTGTTTTCCTTCTTCCTATCATTGACATCTCCTTAAAATTCAGTTCTCTTTTTCTACTCTATTTCTTGTTTATATATTCATTTCATACCCCCTCCAGGGTCAATGAAAAAGAGGAAGACCCTCAAAGAGGTGGACTGACACAGTAGCTGCAACAATGGGCTCAAACATAACAATTGTGAGAATGGTGCAGGATCAGGCAGGGTTTTGTTTTGTTGTATATGGATGGGGTTGCTGTGAGTCAGGATCAACTCAATGGCACACAGCAACAACTAACAACAACAACCCCTTCCAAATCCTAGTGGGAACTCTACTAGAACTGAAGAGATTCAGTGCTCTTCTTTATTTCTGTTGATACAATTTGAGATACAACTTTGACGAGTGTTCACTACATCTGAGAACTTCACCAATCCCTAAGTGACCTCTGACTCATTCCTGACATGTGACACAAATGCCAAAGTAAGAAACAGTGAAGTTACATCAGAAAAAGTGTAAGAAGTGTGGTAATAATGTAGTTTAATGGGTTTGAAAAGCTACAGGAGACTTCAAAGAGTCAGTGTTTCTTATTACTGGCACAGGAAAAAATAGCCCAAGTTACTGTACTTTCTCACACTGGCCTCTATTATTTGAAGCAGTAACTGGACCTCTGCTTATTTTCCAGGTTCCGATGGAGGCGGCGGTTGCTGGTGATCTCTGCTCCTAATGATGAAGACTGGGCCTATTCACAGCAACTCTCTGCCCTCAGTGGTCAGGCATGCAATTTTGGTGAGTGGGAAGCCACGTCATTACTGCTTCCCCATACCACTCTCTTCCTGGTCAGTTTTAAAATGGAACATAGAAGCTTAGATCATCCAAGTATTCCACAGTCCAGACTGTAGATTCCCAGACACATACTTCATTATACTGAGCATAAAGTTGCTCTCATATTGCAGCCTTAGTCAAATGAGGGTACATATTTTGTTATTTTTATAATATTCTCCCCTTTCAGCCTCTTCATTGAGGTGTTAGAAAATATCTACTGTTTTATTTTTAAGTGATCTGCATTATTTGTCTTCTTGTTTTAAAAACTTGTCTCAAGATCATGAAAGGGTTTCATTTTACTCACTTAGGTGTCAACACTGGGTACTTCTCCATATATTAAATGTCTTTTATAAAATATAAATGATTTGGGGAATTTATATATTAAAATCAAAGTACTCTGTATTATATTGCCTTTCACTCAAAAAGGGCACTAAGAAGATAACAAGATCAGTTAAGCAGAATCTTATTTTCAAGATTAATAGGTCAAAAGGAAATATAGTTAACTATTCCTTTTTTTTTAACTGTGTTGCTCAGTATTTTGAAAATTAATGCATGCCTTATTTACCAGACATTATCTTAGTGTTCTGAAAGTGATAATATATAGAGTTGATACAGAAAGAAAAATGTACACTTACATAACAACAATACAATGCACTGCCATTAAGGCAGATCCGACTCATTGCAACCCCTCCTTGGTCACTATGGAAGTAGATTATCCCATCTTCTTTCTGAGGAGTGGCTGGTGGGTTTGAACCCCCAGACTTCTGGTTAGCAGTCAAATGCCTTAGGCACATTTATTGATAAGTTCAATAGTAAACCAAGGAACTAAGGCAATTTCAAAAGTATAAGTCACAACTGAAATCTCATTCAAGATATGCCTCTGCAGTGGATGAATTTTGATAGAATCACCAGAGGAAAAATTTTTTAAAATAGCTAGAGACCACAGATTAAAAATTCAGAGTTAGTTAGAACATGTTGTTGTTGTTGTTATATGCTGTCGAGTTGGACTCGACTCATAGTGACCCCTCCTTGGGTTTCCGAAGCAGTATCACTACAGAAGTAGATTGTCCAACCTTCCTTCCCAGGAGTGGCTGGTGGGTTTGAACTGCCAGCCTTCTGGTTAGCAGTCAAGTGCCTTAGGCACTATGCTACCAGAGCTCCTAGTTAGAACACAGAACATAGAATCAGCATTATTTTGATATTTCTATTAGAAAGACGAATCATCTATTAATTACAAAATTGTGCTTAATTGGAAAAAAGTAAGGTAGAGGATAAGTCTGTTTTTTTTTTTTTTTTTTTTTTTTTTTTAATTTAAGGAGAGTTTATTAAAGGGACTATTTACAAAGGTGCTGGCAGAGTATATGGTAAAACCATAGGAATGGGGTATTATCCTGAGACTAGTAACAATGATCTTTGCCACTCTAGGCCTTAAGGGGGAGGGGAGGCAATGGTTACCAGATGTCAGAGACAGAGTGGGCTGTATGGAGAAGGCCACCAGATAGGAGCTGAGATTGTCAGTGGAGGGAACTCAACAACCCACAGTAACCTGCAGGGACAGTAAAAAACAGTTGCCTTCAAGTTGATTTCAACTCTGTGTGTCAGGGTAGAACTGTGCTCCATAGGATTTTGTTTGTTTGTTTTTTCACTGCTGTTCATAAGGTTTTCTTTCTTTCTTTCTTTTTTTTTTTTTTTTAATTGTGCTTTGGGTGCAAATTTACAAAGCAGATTTGTTTTATATTTAACAGTTCATGTACATTTGGTTTTACAGCCCTGATTATAATTCCCAACCACAAAAAACTCTCCTCCCATTTCCTCCATGACACCCCTTCCCTGTGCCCTTCTTTTTCATACATTCCTGTCTGTCCAGCTGTGCCTCTATGTGAGTGCTGCCCCTCTGATGTCTCGTGGCTGATTGATCTAAGGGGTGCATCTCCCTAGAGTAGGTGGGTGCATCTCCCTGGGTTAAGTGTTTTGTATGTAGGTCTTTCTACTGTTGGGCTGAGAGCCAATCCACAGAAGTGAGTCCATTTCTAGGACCGAAGGGTAACTAACCCAGGGCCATAGTTTCGAGGGTTCCACCAGTCTCTATTCGACCAGTAATTCTGGTCATTTTTGTTTTTGAATTTTGTTCCATATTTTTCCTCCCACTCTATCCAGGATCTCGAGTTTTGATCCCTTTCCAAGTGTTGGCATTGGCAGCCAGGCACCATCTAGTTCTAGTCTCGGGGTCATGAAGGGTAAGGTCCTCATGGTCCATCGTACCTTTGATTAATTGTTTCCAGATACCTTTGATTTTCTTCACTCTTCTTTGCTCCAGACAAGAGGAGACCAAGAGTTGCATCTTAGATGGCCACTCAAAAGCTTTTAAGATCCCAGTTGCTACTCACCAAAGTAGGATGTAGAACAAGATTTTTATACTCTATATTGTGCTAATTGAGCATGATGTAGAGGATTAGCATTAAGAGAGCCTGGGGCTTTGCTGTGACCCAGTACTTGTAAAATATAAAAATATTTCAATTTTAAGGTGTGAAGTAATAACCCAAGTGAAAGTAAAAAACAAACTCATAACAGTAAGAAACATAAGAAAATTCATTAATTTTTTATTTAGACTCCTATTATCAAACTTAATAATTTAAAACCTTGCATAAAATTTGACTGCACCAATATTCTTAAGTTTATTTTAAATTATTTATAGTCACAAATGATGTTAAGTAAGACAGAAGTTCTTAGAGTGGTTAATATCTTGGTTTGTAAACTTCAGAGCTTCAGACTGTTTTTTCCTGGTTCAGTCATGGCCCACAAAGCATAACTGGAACAGACTTGAATTTGTAAAATGTGGGTATACTGGAACAATAAGCAGAGGGGGCAAATCACAGAGCAACACATTGCTAGAAACTTAGTCTCCCTCTCATAAAACAAAGGCAGTGTGAGTGTTGCTTAGCAACCAAATCTCTTGCCAGATAGAGTTGGAAACAATGGTGCCCTGCTCAAAGATGGCAGCCGAACAAGCCTCTTTGAATGTGTGTTGCTCTCCACAGTCCTGGTAATAATCCAGTTTCCCACATCAGCCTCCTGAAAGGGCTCACTATGCCTCTTCCAAGTCTCCCATTCCAAAGCTTTGACTAATTGTTCCCATTTCAGTTATCGTTCTGGTACACCCACATTATTTCCTGTCTATTCCAATTTTACCACATTGGCCATGTTTGAACTGGTCCAAAACAGTTTGAAGCTTTGTCCAATTTCTCTGCATATAGCACTGTATTATATGTGTCAGCAAACCCTTTTGTAATGTACAAGAAATGTGAAAAAGTCATGTTTTATAGAAATAATTAAATTTATGATCTTTCATTTTTAAAACATAACTTATCAAGATTTAGAATAAAATGTTTGACTCCTATAGAAAAGAATAAAGACAAAAAAAAGAAAACTTTTTAAATAGTGTTTTGCATGGATTTCCATATTTTGACTCTTACTTAAAAAACCCTCCTGTGGCATCTTTTCAATTATCTCCTGTGGATAATAAACATCACCAATATTCAAAGCATTAGTTCCAAATTACTAGCCTGACTGGGCTGGAACTTTCTCTAAAACTGTGAAATCTTGATATGATTATATGACAGATGCTTGCTCTTCTATTTTCTTTCTCCTGAATCCTTTCATGTGTACTTGATCTTCAAAAGAATTCCAACAATCTACCTAAGGCCTGACCTTTCCTGAAACTTTAGCTGAGAAGGCAGAGTGTGCTTGCCTAAGTATTTCCCCTTTGAATCCTCTAAGGAAGTTACAAGAACCTGCTCTTTAAGTCAACAAATGTTTGTGCGAGGAAACCCAAATCTATTACTTTAACAATTGCAATGGCTGTTCTTTGAGAGAAAGTTGTTATCCATAAAAGCTTATAGGTTTTCAGACTTGCCTTTCTCCCCGCCTCCTCCCCCAGAGCTCTAATCAGCTTAGGAGCTCTGATAGCATAGTGCCTAAGACACTTGACTGCTAATCAGAAGGCTGGTGGTTCAAACCCACCAGCCACTCCTCAGAAGGAAGGTTGGGCAATCTACTTCCATAGTGATACCACCTCAGAAACCCAAGGAGGGGTCGCTATGAGTCGGGTCTAACTCCATGGCACATAACAACAACAAATCAGCTTAGATTATATTAGACGTCTTAGTACTCCAATGGCTTCATTTTTATTTTGTTATTTAATAGAGTGAGAATCACACTTTAAGAGCAAATTCTATACTAATCTAGAACAACAAATAATAATCTGACCCTACTGTTCATCCTGGGAGCTCTGGTAGCATAGTGCCTAAGGCACTTGACTGCTAACCAGAAGGCTGGTGGTTCAAACCAACTAGCCATTCCTCGGAAGGAAGGTTGGGCAATCTACTTTCGTAGTGATAGCACCTCGGAATCCCAAGGAGCGGTCACTATGAGTCAGGTCCAACTTGACGGCACATAACAACAGCAACTGTTCATCCTAAAATCTGTAATTGGTCTTCCTTTAAGGTTTTAAAAATATTTTTTTAGTTTCCCTTGGAAAAATTTTTAAATATTTTATTCTACTTTGATTATATTCTATGTCCTTTTGAAATTTAGGAGACCTTTAATTGTTACACTTCAAGTCCTTGAAAGTAAAGGATGACTTAGAATAATTTACCCTAATTCTGTGGCTTTCTCTTCTCTCAGGTCTGCGCCACATAACCATTCTGAAGCTTTTAGGCACTGGAGAGGAAATTGGGGGAGTTTTAGAACTGTTCCCGATCAATGGTAATGTGTTGTTATTTTAAAACAGTTAAAAGTAGTGTTAAATTCAGTTAAAATATATTAAGCTTTATGTAAGCAGTGAGTGTACGTCTAAGGTGAATAAAGTTCATTAAATCTTCCCTCTCACCTGTGTGTGTGTGTGTGTGTGTGTGTGTGTACAGGGCATGGGGAAGGGAAGGAGAGATATAGAATAAGGAATAATATTGTTTTTAATATAAAATCCCTTAAAATTACATAAAATACCAATTTTCTTAATTATAATCATGTTTTCTATCTGTATAGGGCTTTGTGGTTCACAAAGCGTTTTTATCTGTTATCTCATTTAAGTCTCACAATAGTTTCATGATATACATAGGCCAAATCTCATTTATTCCCTTTCAGTAGATAGATGAGGACATAAACTAAAGCCTCAGAAAAGCTGAAAGAAAATCACTCATGACCAAAAGTTTCAGAAAGCAATTCAGTCCTTCTTCCCAAGAATAAGCTCTTTGCATGGAATAATTTGTGTAAAGTAGCTGGCACAAGTAAACACCAGGAAGTGTCATCTCCCTTGCTCCATCCAGTTTCTTCTTTTCACTAATCATGGTTTAAATACATTTGTCTAGATCTTCCCTAATTGGTATTAAACATAAGCGTCACAAGTAAAACTTTTGCAGAAAAGAGAGTAACAAAACTAATTGGGAAAAAAAGTCAGAAATGTGAACAGTATAATCTTTGTTTGTGACAAATTTCAAGAACTTGATCTTGCCAGGATTATATTAAGGGACTGGTTTTATATTTTGCAGAATTTCTGTAAAAAAGGTCTCATGTGCCCCCAAATTTCATACTAATAATAATCTTGCAGAATAGCAGAACATTTAATTCTGAACTACAGAGAACAGACTCATGGGTCTTTTCTCTGTTTTCACAGTGATTTCCTCTCACTTTGATACTTCCCTGACCTCTGGTTCTTTAATCCACTAACCATTTCGATCCTATTCTAGGGAGCTCCGTTGTTGATCGAGAAGACGTACCTGCCCATTTGGTGAAAGACATACGTAACTATTTCCAAGTGAGTCCAGAGTACTTCTCCATGCTTCTAGTTGGAAAAGATGGAAACGTCAAATCCTGGTATCCTTCCCCAATGTGGTCCATGGTGATTGTGTACGATTTAATAGACTCAATGCAACTCCGGAGACAGGAAATGGCCATTCAGCAGTCACTAGGCATGCGCTGCCCGGAAGATGAGTACGCAGGCTATGGTTATCATAGTTATCATCAAGGATACCAGGAAGGTTACCAGGATGATTACCGTCATCATGAGAGTTACCACCATGGATACCCGTACTGAACAGAGATATGTAATCTTAGCCCCAGCCATTGTTCCCTGCAGCTGCTGAAGCCACATGTGGCCAGCTACATAAAGGAGTTCTTCCACACTGCCTACATTCCTTGCCTTTTTCTTCAGTGTTCTTCTAAGACTAAATAAATAGCAAACTTCTGCCTACTCATGACTTGCTATTGAAGCTTTAAATCATAGACATTTAACAGATTGTTTATTTCTCTAACTGGAAGGGATCTCATGATAATTATTGTACTAGAGATGGTTGTTCTTCTTCTTATAATAGACATAATTTAGTAGAAAAAAGACTATAAAAATAAGCATTGTTATTACCTCTCTTTAACTTTTTCTTTATTTTAGGATATACTGATAATTGAAAACTATGATTGTTAAACAAAATTAATCAAATATCTTGACACAGATATTTTCAAGAAAGGTGAATGACAGAATAGATAGGTTTTTTTTGAACACCTTTGAAATGTCAGTCTGAAAATGATGACGCTAATTCTGCTTTGCATCATGGGTTTCTTTCATGGAGCTAATACCACAAGAGTCCAGTGATAAACCAAAACCAAACCAAACTCACTGCCATCGAGTCAAACCCAACTCATAGTGACCCCTCCTTGGGTTTCTGAGGCAGCACCACTACGGAAGCAGATTGCCCAACCTTCCTTCCGAGGAGTGGCTGGTGGTTTGTACGGCCAGCCTTCTGGTTAGCAGTCAAAGCCAAAGAAAGGACCAAACCCAGCTTTGTTATCACAGCTACTTCCTGCCTTGTTTCTGTTATCTTCAGTGTCTCTTGAGATATATAAGGGAACCTGGAAATAAGAATCCCTAAATCCTCACAAGAATCTGGTGCTGAAGCCAAAAGTGATACTTCCAGAGTTCTAGCAGGGAGCCACAGAATTCTGCCCTGACCCCTCTCTCTCCCATGGTGGAGAGCTTTCCTCTTCTCTCCTTGGACAGTCCGTACCAGCTGCTTTGGGTGTGAGGTGAGATAGCCAGGTTGATGTATATTGCTCTTAAATTTCTGCAAATGTGAAACACAGTTCAAAATCATCATTTTGGATTTGTTACCACTGCTTTTCCAAGTATATACAGACAATTTCTAAGTAAGAGGCCCAGTATTCTCAAGTCAGGATATATAATAAAGATTTTTATCGCCAAGGAAATTAACTTAATAGGAATAATGGAAAATGTATACCGTAATATTGAGATGCTAGTACTTGCAACCAGACACAAAACATGTTTTAAATCTGAAAGTACTTTTTCAGACATTTGTACGGTTTCACTGACATTGAGATAATTACCAATCATGCACCTGAACTCTCCTTCTGCTAATGAGTGAGGAAAGAAGTCATGCCCTCATTATTTGGTGTGGTGTAGAATAAATAACAACTCAGCAAAAGAACCAGGATACATACATAGGGAGAACTATTGGTAAATGTCCTCAAATCCTATAGTCTGGAAAAATGCAATTGATACCTCAGGAAATGGGAAGATTGGAGAATTAGGTAACAGAATCTCTATCTTCTAGGGGTTTGAATCAGGTAATTTGAATTTAAGTATTGACTTTCTCTCGATAAAAATTTCCTTCCAAAAAAAAAAGATAGGAAAGAAAATAGTTTTTGAGAAAGATTATGAAATTGTAGTTTTAGAAAGAAAAGGGCGTAGTAGATTTGAGGAAATTGGGAAGACCCTGGAAGGACATGTCCTTGCCAATGTTGCTTCTTGTCACAATTCCCTTACATTTATTTCCAAGGAATCCTCTTCACCAGAGATCCCCCTGGGGCTAAGATAAATACTTTTTCAGCAGAGGGACCCTTCCCTACAACAAAGGAGAATGTCAGATAAAGTTGAGTTAGCAGAACCCATCTGGTCTCATTTCCTGAAGAATATTACTAATGAAGCCTATGCCTTCTCAAATTCTAGAAGCCTTAAGGATGCAAACAGCTCAAAGAACTAGGGTGAATGATGTCCTCGGTGGGGCAAATGTTTCCCTGAATGATATATCTCAGTATTTAATGTGTGGAGATTCCAGAAAAATTGCTGCCTTCTGAAAGGGACCTTTGTTTATGTCTCTACCACTGCTCACTTCTGTCTGCCTGCCTGATGGCTTTCCTTTCTTGTTGGTCTGTACTACATGGCAGGAGTAGTACAGGCTGATTGGTGACTATTTATAACTTCATGTCAAGGTAAAACACTGATAAAATGCTAACTACCTCTTCTCAATTCTCTCACAGTTGTTGCAAAGATACTGATGCCAGACTTTCCCTTAGTTCCAGTCAGGTTATTAAGGGCTGGTGGTGAAGGGCAAAGGGTCAGTTGTAATAGAATTCAATGCATGTTATGGAAAGGCCACTGAACCGAGTGTCAGAAAAACTGGTTACTGGCCCTTGCTCTGTCACTTACTTCTTGTGTGCCCTGAAGGAGAGTGTCAGTTCCTCTTCTGCAACATAGAAGAGCAGGACTAGATTCTTGTCTAGTTCTGTGACAATTAGAACTATTTCTAGGCCCTTAGTTCAGAATTTTATATGACTTATTTTATGTGAAATTCTCAGGGAACTCGGACTTCATGGTTCAGAATCCAGTTTCTGACTTTTGTGGAAACAGAGAACAATATTAAATAACTACACTGGATTCTTTCCAGCATAGTGCATTGCTTTGGCTTAAACTCAATGGGTCCATCACCTCTAACACATAGAAAGTCTAATCATTTTCTTACAGTCAGACTGAAGTTTCCAGGGATAATCAGGATGGCAAGGGCTGTGAGCCACATGAGCACCTAAGCAATCCTTCCAAAAAGCTGTATGTGTGTTCTTCAACACAGTTTCCCGATTTTGTTAGAGAAAAAGTAAATCCCCCCTGTAGCCTTCACCACATATGCATCACCTGTCTGATATCCTGAAGCCTGGACAAACTGGGCAGATGGCAGAGACTATAAATATTCATATTTTTCTTCTAGAAAGTAAAATAATGGTCCTCTATCCCCCAATCTATGGATTGATACATGTACCAGAGGAGCAGACTGAAGGGATGGGACGATTTTAAGTAGCTAACATTGATTCTGGGCAAAATTTTCTGGGCTTTTCTTCTCCATTATCAGCATCTCTATGGGACCATTTCCCCTTTCCCAGGCTTCTCTCCCATGATTCATTCTTGCTCTTTGATTCCTACAACTGATTAGGTGTAACTGATAGGCTAAAGGTGCTGCTATTTCCAAGACTATCTACAATTCAAAAAAAGATCCTTAAGGAAAGAGGGAGGTAGGGAACACCTTTGCAAGACATTTCTGCAAGATCGCCAGTCTCTGCTGTAAGCCAGCCTCACTTTGCTTCCCAGAAAATGTTAGAGAAAAAGTAAATCCCCCCTGTAGCCTTCACCATCATTCTGTTTCTGTCTCCTTTAAACTCTTTTCTATTTTTTGCTTGCCTCTTGTCTTTGGAGAGCCAATTAGGACAGGTTAGCTGTGGTAGTTAAAGTTGTGTGTCAACTTGGCTGGCCATGGTTTTGAATGGCTTGACAGCTGGATGTGGTTATTCCACATGATGAGATTGGGCGTGGTATAATCAACTCCATGGTGGAATCTGCTGTGAGCAGCTAATTAGTTGTCTTCCGGGTGCAGCCTGCTTCCAGCATATATGGAGAAGCGTTGGGAAAGGTCTCTAGCTTTTGGCACATTTTGGATCCTGTGTCTTCATCTCCAGTTCCTGGACTTGAACCTGCCGTGTTGCCTGCTGATCTTGGGATTGTTCCTGGGCATGAACAATGGTCTGCCATGTTGCCTGCTGGTCTTAGGATTGTGCCATTTTACCTGTTGATCTTGGGTTTATCAGCCTCGGCAGCCAGCGTAAATCAGAAGTCTCCAGTTCCAGAGGACCTGGAACAAGAGGCAGAGCTGAAGCCCAAGGTCGAGGGGCTTGGACTTATAGCCTCCTAAACAGTGAGAGAATAAATTGGTGTTTGTTAAAGGCATCCACTTGTGGCATTCCTGTTATAGCAGCACAAGAGAACTAAGACAGTAGATATAGGTAGGAATAAGTACAAGTCTAGCAAATCTGGTCATGAACAGTTGAAAGCCTTGGCATTTGGAAAGAACCATCTGATCAATCTAGTTCTTAATCCAGGATATTAATTTATAGGTGAGATTCCAATTAAATGGCAATTCAAACACTTATAGTATTTCTACCACTTTCTGTGTACTCTGCTAGAAACCAAGAATGCAAAAATGATCCCTGTGTAGATGCTTATAGACTAGTAGAGCCAATCAAGTACACAGTGCATGAATGATCCTTTTATAAGAATCAGCACAAGGCTCATTCCTGTAAGACAGGGGGGTTAAATATATCCCAAATGTCCAACTTTTCAAAACAGCTATACCACTTCATCTTCTCTAACATTAACTACTTCTCTTCCCCTCAATATACTCCCTCATCTTTAGATTCCAAAATTCACTACATCATCTTACAGAAGTCACGAACTTCAAGAAAATGGTTCACATAGTTCTGGAGGTTGGCAAGTCCCAAATCCATGGGTCAGGTAACAGTCTGGAGACTTCTCTTGACTCACATGGTTGCAGGGCCTGACAAACCCAAATTGGCAGGTCAGATAATAGGCTTCTGGCTCAAGTTCCCAGAACCTGAGGTGAGATGCTGATGAGCCAGATGCAGGATCCAGAGCAAGAGAGAGGGTTTTGCCAGGGCATCCATAGGTATTGGATGCAGACCATACCCTCAAGAAAAATCCCCTTACTTGAGCAAGGCAGTACAAGTGTGTGACTTGAGTCACACCTTCTAGTAAGGCCATGACTCAAGATACATCCCACCCTAATCCTGCCTCATTAACACAATGAACATAATAACAAAATGAACAACTTACTCCAAAATGGGACCATAACCATAGACATAGAGGATAGGATTTACTACACATCACAAAATGGAAGACTATGGTTACTGTTGTTGTTAGGTGCTGCTGAGTTTGCTCTGACTCATAGTTACTCTATATACACAACAGTACAAAACAATGTCTGGTCCTGCTTCATGCGGACAAACTGCACTATGCTTAACCCATTGTCACACCCAATGTGTCAATCCATTTCATTGAAGGTCTTCCCCTCCTTTTTTGCTGACCCCCTAATTTACTAAGCATTATATCCTTC